ACAAATAGAAAAAATACCGGCAACGCTGCGCCCGCAAGACACAGCGTCGAGTATGTTTGTATTGAGAAAGCATTATAATCGACCAATGTGTACTTGTCATTTTCGTCGCGATCGCAGCGTAACATTATTCATGGGCCACTTGAAAAGGGTCTGTGGTCTGTGCACTACTTCGACACAAGCCGCACGCGCTTGCTTTTGTCTCTCTCTACAAAATTATATGCGCCATTTAAGCATAAGCATGTGCTGCACGTTATACAGATCCGTACAGATCTAATGCGAAGTACGATATCTGATTGGTCGGTCGGTGCTCGGTATAAAATTTTGCGGAGCATTTGAATTGGCGCGCTACGGGGCCACGACGAAACCGAGAGCTCCCAAAACCCGGAAATATTTCGTGGACTGATTAATTTTTCTGCTGAGCTTGATACAACCTTAAGCGAACACATAAAAAATGCTTCAATATTTAAAGGAACTTCGAAAGAAAAACGATCGACTGGATTGATTCTAGAAGTTTTCATGTAGAAATAATAAAACAGATTAACGGAGAATCGTATTTGGCGATAATAGCAGATGAAACAACGGACATTTCGGGGAAAACCCAAGTGGTAACAATTTTCAGATACGTATTTAACGGCGAACCAGTAGAACGTTTATGGAATTATATGAATCCCGAAAATGTGACGCTGGTACTTTCACAAGACATATTTGAGCGTCGTAGATCCATTAAGAGGAAATTTCTCTAACAAACTGATTTCACAAAGCCGCGGTAATGAGTGGACGTAATGCTGGTGTACAGGCAAAAATTAAACAAAGATATCCATTTACGCACTATGTGCATTGCTATGCGCATCAGTTAAACCTGAAAATTTCATAATGAAACCGTTTGCAAGGCAGCTTGCGGTATTCGCCGTATGTTGAACGATTCTGTTTTCGTGTTTTGGTTGACATTTTTTCATCATGTCATGCCTCACATGAACATCTTGTTCAACCAGTTGCAGAAGAGAAAAACCGAGCTAGCGCAAGTTAAAACGGCTATCGATAATTTTGAAAAATGTATTGTCGATGTGAGAAATAAAATTGATGACATAATAAATGAAGCCAAAAGTATTTGCACTGAACCCCAAGGCAACAAAGGAGACGACGTAGTAATAGCAGTCACGATCACCGAGTTGCCGCATTAGAAGTATGCGACAATATAGTGAATTCCCCGAACACTTTGGAGAATACTGTGGTAAGTGTCCTGATGACAAGTTGGAAACTACCTGCTTGGTTTATCCCGAAATAGAAAACAGTTTGTTAAAGACACAGTTGTCTGTTATTTATGCACTGACTAATTGCCGAGATTTACATGGAACTCTGTCTCTTTTGAAATTTTTGATACAAAATAGTTTGGAGGAAACACTAAAAGAACCAAAAAAGCTATTAGAAATTATTGTTACAACTCCTATGTCAACATCAGAGGCTGAGCGAAATTTCTCAACATTGAAAAGAATCAAGACTTTTCTTCGTAATACTATGACCCAGGTTCGCCTTATAGCGTTGTCGATGCTGTCCACTAAAAAGGAATTTATTTCGACAAAGGAAAATTTCAACGGGAGGGTGATCGACAAATTTGCTGCCAAGGAGCTCAGGATCGAACTGACATATAAAAAATAGGTATTTTCGGATTTGCAGAACACCTGTTTTATTTTGCCACGAGCCACCACTGATGTATACATTCTTGAAATCTGATTTAGAAACTATTCACCTGCGCAAAAATTGCATATGTCATCCATAAGGAAAAATAAAGTTGATGCTGAAGGGCAAATAACGAAACGTCATATTGAAATTCTAATTATATCTTGTAGAGGAAAACAGTGGCAATGCTAATGTGCAATTTATTTTGACGTCCCACTACAATATAAAAAATTTTTTTTTCCGTCTCTCCGGAAGTACAGGGTGGCCGATATGTAACTGACTGGTTTGTATCATGAATATTTATGAAATGAAATACGTCCATTTTTCCATAATATTTTATTAAAACTTAGAAATTATGTATGAAAAATAATATCAGACAAATGTCTGCCTCTAGAAGCCGCACAAACCTGAGCAATCTTGATTACAATTTCCATCACTTTTTGGTAGGTTTCGGGAGGAATATTTTCAATCGCTTCGTAATATTGTTCTTCAGCTGCTCTAACAGTACTTGGTTTGTTGGTATAAACCCTATTTTTCAAACAACCCCATAAAAAGTCAGGAGCCGTTAAATCCGGAGACCTTGGTGGCCAGTTGGCCACCAAATCGAGAAATTAAACGTCCCGGAAATATTGTTCGCAAAAGATTAATTGTTTCCTTAGCTGTGTGACAAGTTGCTCTGTCCTGCTGGAACGACATGTTTTGCACGTTAAATTGTTGGATTTAAGGACCCAGAAAGTTTTGCACCATATCACGGTAGCGCTCGCCAGTGATAGTAAGAATTACCTGCAGCATCTTCAAAGAATTAAGGTCCAATGACACCTCCATATCAAACACCGCTCCAAATTGTGACTCGACGAGGATGTAGTGGTCGTTAATTGATGACACGAGGGTTCTCTAATGCCCAGATAGAACATTTCTGCTTATTAACAAATCCGTTCATATCGAAGTGGGCTTCATCGCTCATTTATCAGATGTCGCAAAAAAATCCTTATTTTGGATATTAAGCTGCAATAGTGACTATTGTCGTCGACTTTCATGATCGCTAGGCTGTAGTTCTTGGGTTAACTGAGTTTTGTATGGCCGCAAATGCAAGTCATTTTTAAAATAGTGCATGACGATGCGTGCGACGAATACCCAGTTCTGGAGAACGACCTGTTTGTTTTAAATTTCGGCTCCAACTGACGAATGGGGTTGACACTGTTCACATCATTTCGACCGAAGTCTTGTCGCTCTCCCGAATCATTACAACAATCGACTCATTATTTAAGTAAAACGTTTTAACAATACGGACGCCTTGACGGATCGTGTGACTCTCCATGATGAATTGGACACATGAGCTTTAAACGACTACTACGGGCGCCAACTACTGAAATGCGTGTATCAAAAATGGCGCGTAATTTAAATCAGTCAGATACATATTGGCCACCCTGTACTTTGAATTTCGAAAATTTCTAAGTCGCATTTTGTTGATTACTTAAATACGCAACTTTGTCCCCATTTAAGCGACTTCGTATCTCTTACAGTCTCCGGGAACCCAATGGTGAGGGTAATTTGAAACACCCTGTATACATGATACACGACGATTATAGACTAAAACATCCGTAATGCTTTGATACGATACTATACTGCTCAGGAATATGATATTTAATGGAAAAGGAAGAAAATTAACTACACATTTTGATCTGAATTTAAAACCTGCATGACAGATTCCATTTATTGTTTTTCTCATTTTCTTACACATAACTAATAAGATATTTACAAATATTCACATTCAGATGTTCTAATTGAAAACCCAGAACGTTTTTGATAGACCCGTATATAGTAAATATCAGTTTGTAAAATAAATACAACTCTACACTGATCTGTTCATAATACATTTTGTGTCCAAATGTCATAAAAATGAGGTCTTAATACTGCAATTGTATCAAACGCAACCATAAATACAGAAAAATCCATATTCTACTTCATCCAACTATTCGTGAATCTTTAATGCTTCAACTGTAAGAAATCAATGATTTCAAAATCTGGATTATTTGGCCGATATTTGAAAAATATTAGTTCTGCCACATAACTAACGTATCCTTTACCACTACTACGAATTTATAATGTTTGCCGAGTTTCACATGTTGATTTTCTGTCCGGTCGTCCTGATATCGCTTATAGGTTAAAATAATCCCCTGGAACCAATGCTTGACGAGCGGAGATTACACTGCAAGATAGGCGTATATTTTGTCCGTATGAAATATATTAATAAGCATTTATAACCCGCCACTGGAACTTGTGGGAATGATTGCAGACCTGTACGGGTTTCCGGTGGCGCTTAGACGGAATGATGACTCAAAGCTCTCTTATTCGCAGTATGCCTTTATACTGGACTTATTCTGGTTGTATATGCTTCTATTCCCTGGACGATAAGCAGGATAACAGGTTTATATTACAGACTGGTAATATACTGAGCGACAAAGACAATGGAACACCCAGCATACATGGCTTTACCTGGATGAAATTTTATACACAGAAATCCATATAGCACTGACGTCGTAATCTGTAGAAGCGTGCAATACGTATGTCTCTGTAGACGGTTAGACATGTTTTATTTAATTTGCCGCCTTAATGCCATATACATTCGACCAGTCGTCGTACCAGGCTTCTAACTAGATGATTATATATTATATATAATGTGAGCAGTAGTCATTGCCATTGCAAACGACCAGTTGGACAAAAAAATACAATCAATTGTTAATTGGGAAATTGGAAAACTTTTAGATAACTCTTTTAACGGTAATCTCGAGCTTTTGGCAATTCTCTATGGAGCCTTCATCAGGAGCTGCTAGCATCATAATTGTGTTTTCAGCTCCTGATGAAGGCTCCATAGAGAATTGCTGAAAGCTCGAGATTACAGTTAAAAGAGTTAACTAAAGCCTAAAAGGTTTGCCAATTTCCCAATTAACAATTAATTGTGTATAGATATATATATATATATATATACATGCACAGCTAACCTTATCGCCTCCACATACGAACAGGCACCCTGGCCTCCGGCTGAAATACTACATATCTCAGGTGTATATTGGTTACAGAAAGATTCCCGTCCATTGTTTTTCTCATTTCCCCTGAGAGGGTAAAAATATGTCTTTTTTAATTATACAGATTTTCGCTATACTTTTAAATGTAAGATGCCTCCGACCACTTAATTTGCTAATATACCTCCGTTTGTATATAGTTTGCTATGTTGGTTGACTAATCAGCCTCCCGCGGCGTTGCCGGTTCTTTAATAGTAAAAATGCTGACCTTGAGCTATTTTTAGAATCCTGAAAATATTATTGACAATGCTTAAATAGTTTCAGATCTTCGGTGTCGTGTTAGTCTAGTTAACGTGCTCAGAGTGTGTGTGTGTGTATTGGCTTTGTTTCGGTCTCCAGTTCCACAATACAAAAATGAATATGTAAGTGATAATGATTTAGTTTAAGAAATAATATAATAATTCTGCATTTTATTATAGCCCAACATACAGAGCTAGAAAAATTCTAAACAGCTTAGATAATACAAGGAAAAAGAGGATAAAGGTGATTATTTATTCCATGTCTATTGAATTAGGTGATCAAATTGAATACTAACTTAATTTATTGATTTATGAAAAATTCAAAAAAAAATCACATTTTTAATGTATTATTTAGTTAATTCAAACAATAGTCTGGAGTCGTTTAATGGAAATATATTGTTAGGTTATGGTTTTGAATAATTTTATTTTCGATTTAATGATTTTCCAGAAGATGAATATGAATATGAAAGTAGTCCCGCTCCATCGATTTCTGGTGATATGTCGTTCCTCGATTTCGATTCCGATGACTCGATGAAGGATCCCACATTTAAACCAGAAGTTAAAGATAAGCAAACGACATTTTTCGATCTTCAAAAAACTGAGGTTTGACTTTTTTCTACTTCATTATAACTCTTGAAGATAATTCAGTTTTTTAACTATTGTATTCATAAACATATTCTAGGATGTATTGACAATAGAGAAAAATAATGAAAAAGAGTTAGAAAAAAAGGAAGTTAAAAAGAAAGAAGAACAAAATAACGCTGCAGTGGAAGAAATTATGAGATCGGATATCGTTTCCACTGTAAGTAGCAGAAATTTTTATTTCATTTTTCAATTAAAATACAGATAGAAGTATATTTACAGTGCGTTCCATTTAAAAGGAGCCTCCCGATATATCTGCATTAAAAATGAATTTCCGAAAAAAATCGGCGGGAAGTATGTAATCGCGAACAAAATCGAAATTGAGATGTTATGTTTTTTGGAGGTCACATGACATGTACATCACGAAAAACCATGTCACTCATTTCCGTCAGTCTGTCTGTCTGTCGCTCTGTCTGTCTGTCGCTCTGTCTGTCTGTCTGTCTGTCTGTCTGTCTGCTAATCCTATAAGCCCGTATAAGTTGGAAAGTACCAGTCGGATTTTGAAGAAATTTTTACACAAGGTTACTATTATGCCAAGGACGTAAAAGCTTTATAATTTTTGAAATCGATCCAGTGGCGCGGTGCTGGAGGTAAAAAACGAAAAAAATAAATAAAAAAAGCTCAAATCTCGTTTCTGGACGTTTCAGACGTCCCTGATCATTTTTGAATTTTTTTTGTAGGGGTTGAAAATTGGGGGTTGGGGCAGTAGGGGGGCGGGGGCGGGTATGATTCAATTTTTTGACGCTTTTATTTTAAAGGTATCCTAACACAGTAATTCACCGCTACAATTAGGATATATTCGCAATGAGATTTCTCCGTACATTTGTTCGAAAAAATGGCGTCAAGTAAATTGATTTGGCACTTCCCTCGCAACGCCAAGATTAAAGACCTTGGAAATTTAGGAACTGAAATATTGTCTTTCTAACAAATGTACGGAGAAATCTAAGTGTGGAATATATACAAATAGCTGCGTTGAATTACTGCTTTAGGATACGTACTAACGTCAAAAAACTGAATAAAACCCTCCCCCCACCTTCTACCGCCTTCTACCACCCCCAACCCCCAATTTTAGACCCCTACAAAAAAATATCAAAAATCAGGAGCCTCTGAAACGTCCAAAAACGAAGTTTGAGCGATTTTGATTTTTTTACGTTTTTTGCCTCTAGCACCGCCGCCACTGGATAACTTTTCAAAAACTATAAATGTTTTTTGTCCTTGACATAATAGTAACCTTGTGTCTTGTAATAATTTCAAAATTTAAACAGAAATATGGATTTTTTTTTTTAGAATCTGAAAATATCTGAAATTTTTTGAATAAATGTACGGAGAAATCTGATTGCGAAATAAATCCTAATTGTAGCAGTGAATTACTGTGTTAGGATACGTATAAAAATAATAGCGTCCAAAAATTGAATCATACCCGCCCCCGCCCCCTGCTGCCCCCAACTCCCAATTTTCAACCCCTACAAAAAATTCCAAAATGATCAGGGACGTCTGAAACGTCCAGAAACGAAATTTGAGCTTTTTTATTTTTTTTTTTCGTTTTTTACCTCTAGCACCGCCGCCACTGGATCGATTTTCAAAAAGTATAAAGCTTTTACGTCCTTGGCATAATAGTAACCTTGTGTAAAAATTTCATCAAAATCCGACTGGTACTTTCCAACTTATACGGGCTTATAGGATTAGCGGACAGACAGACAGACAGACTGACGGAAATGAGTGACATGGTTTTTCGTGATGTACATGTCATGTGATATCCAAAAAACATAACATCTCAATTTCGATTTTTTTCGCGATTACAATACTTTCCCGCCAGTTGGCGAGGGAAGTAAACAGAATAATTTCAGATATATTCAGATTCTAAAAAAAAAAATCCAAATTTTCTGTTTAAATTTCCAAATTATTACAAGAACACAAGGTTACTATTATGTCAAGGACGAAAACCTTTATAGTTTTGAATAGTTATCCAGTGGCGGCGGTGCTAGAAGCAAAAAACAAAAAAAATTAAAATCGCTCAAACTTCGTTTTTGGACGTTTCAGAGGTTCCTGATTTTTAAAATTTTTGTAGGGGTCAAAAATTGGGGGTTGGGGGTGGCAGAAGGCGGTAGAGGGTGGGGGGAGGGTTTTGTTCAGTTTTTTGACGTTAGTACGTATCCTAAAGCAGTAATTCAATGCTTAGATTTCTCCGTACATTTTGTTGGAAAGACAATATTTCAGTTCTTAAATTTCCAAAGTCTTTAAACTTGGCGGTGCGAGGGAAGTGCCAAGTCAATTTACTTGACGCCATTTTTTAGACAAGTGAAACGTTTCGTATTTTTTCTTTTTGGTAATAAACAGATTCTCTAAAAATGATTTTACCCTTTTATGATGCAAATTTTCAGTTAAATACTGTATATCTGTATTTGATGGAAACTTACTAATATTTTTTCAGGATGAACAGCTAAATGAAAAGTCCCCTAAAATTGTTATCCTGAGTAACATTGATGTGTCCAATTTCAATCAAATATCGGAGACTCAAACTAAAGTAAGTTCAACCATAAAACTTCACTTGGAAATAATCATATACAAAAATATTACTGCGGATATTTTATTAACTTGATAATCAAATCTTTAATTCTAGAGTAAAATATTTTGCTAGACGTTTTCTTACTTTGTGGGAATATAATATTTATAAGCTTTGAAATTCTAGACTAATATTTTTAACTTTACCTTGAGTCACCTATTATTCCTAAAGGCATGATTAAATTATTTTGTCAGTCTCAAATTAGCACCATTGTATCGTTGTTTCTAGTAAATAACTGCTGGTCATCAAAAATCTTTGACAAGATTCTCACTGTCAGAAAATATAAAAAATTTATCAGTCATAAAATATTGTAGCTAAAAAAGCCAGGCCAGCTCATTTTTTAAATCAAGATATCACCGAAAATGCCAAGCCTCTCCCTCAAACTTGTATTGTTTCATTATCAATTTCTATCAGCATTTTTGCAGAAATTTAAAAAAATCAATTTTTTTTTACATTTTTCAGACAACAACGAAAAAAAAGAGAACAAAGTGTAAGTTTTGTCAGACAGATGTAACAAATTTTGAGAGGCATCTTGAGCGGAACCACGATGATACTAAAGAGGTACAAGATATGATGTCTTTTCCAAAAAGCCATCCTGAAAGGAAAAAAATTCTAAGTTTGTTGAGAAATGCAGCAAATTTTACAGAGTATCTTAAAGGCAATGTACAGCCTAAGTATCATTATAAGACAGAATCTAAAGAATATTACCCATGTTCACGCTGCAAAGCAATGCTGTCTAAATCGTATTTGTCACGTCATAAAAAAAACTGCATACTGAAACACACGAATAATAATGAAATTCGTAAGATGAATTCACTAGCAGCATCACAAACATTAATAGCTAGTTCTTTTGATGAAAATAGTAACTTGCACAAACTGAGAGTAAAAGAGGAAGTCTTTGACCGAATGAAACCTGATTATATCTCCTTGGTTGCGAAATCCGACTACCTAATTTATAACTTTGGAGAAAACTATCTCAAAAAACACAGAAGAGAACAACTCGTTACAGTTTGTTCCAATAAAATGAGAGAATTGGCACGGTTTCTGATACAATTCAGAAAAATGACAAATAACTCAAAATTCAGGCTACAAGACGTTTTTAAACCAAAATTGTTTGATATGACAGTCGAATGCGCAAAACATGTAGGGGGATATGAAAAATATTCTAAGACATATCGTGCACCTAGCCTACCTGCACATCTGGGAACTTCATTAAAACAAGTTTGTGAACTTTTCACAGACTGGTCCTGAAAGAGGATGAAGCTTTAAGAATCTCTGATAAAGAAGAGGCATTAAGAGATATAAACAGATTTCGAGAACTCATAAATACACAGTGGACCACGGAAATCAGTAGCTTAGCATTTAAAGACCTTAATGAAAAACAATGGGAGAAACCAGCAATGTTACCTTTAACTCGGGACATAACGAAATTCAAAGACTACGTTACCAATGTGGCAAATAAAGCAATGACCTGTCTAACACTCAATCCAACTGATAGGAAAGAAATGAAAAAGTTGATTCAGGCTTCTCTTATTTTAACGATATTATTTAACAGAAAAAGAATAGGCGACGTTCAATACACAAAATTAAGTACATACATCAACTACTGGAAACCGGTTAACCAAGAGGAGTGTGAAAAAGCATTGTCTCAGTCAGAAAAAATACTAACAAAATATTATAAACGCATTGTGACAGGTGGAAAAGGTAGTAGACCCATAGCTATTCTATTCCCTCAAACATTACAAACCTATATAGATTTCTTTGTTAAAATCCGCCAAGAACATCACTTAGTACCCGAAAATAATCCATATTTATTTGGGTGTCCTGGAACTTCGAAGTGGACAAGAGGGGATGTTATTATACGGAAATTTGCCCAAGAAGCTGATCTAGAATTTCCCAAACAAATATCTTCTAACAGATTACGGAAGCAAATTGCAACGGTAATGCAAATTCTTAACCTTAGTAAGGAAGAGAGTGAACAATTCGCCCACTTCATGGGACATACTGAAAAAACCCACAATGAATTTTATAAGTAAGTTCTCCCTACAATAAATTACGGCATACATTCATTTGAAATTCAAGTTTTCGTTATTGTAAAAATGCCCTGAAGAAATATTACGCAGTTACTTTTATTTTAGAGTAAAAGGATGTCAGTAGAAATGTGTTCAAATAGGGACCCTATTTTTGATTAGCATCTGAAATTCTAAGTTACATTCCCGATTTTCAAATGATTTTGAGAAAATGGTGTCGAATTATTCACAATTTTTAACTTTGTGATCTTGTGGCGTTTAAAAAGATCAAGTCAAAGTACTTCCACTTTTTTCTTAACATCCAACAATACTTATTCTGAATTTCACCTGGTGGTCAGCTTTTTCCTACTATTTATGACTAATGGTATCGGATAGGTAATGGATCTTGCTATAAGAAAGTGGCAACCATTTTGATCTAACTTGATTAGTCTAAATATATCAATGCGTTAAAGTATCAAATTCAGACGCCCATTTCTCGATAACAATTGAAGATCGGCATAGGATTCACTTTGAATTGAAAAAACCGACAATGAAAAAAATTTTATTTGATGTCATGATTTTTATCTCAGATGTAACAAACTTTACTTATGCTTAATAAATTGACGTTTCCTTTTTCCTGGATCAAGACCAATATGAATTTCAAATGAATATATACAGGATGTCGCTAAATTAGTATTTAAAAGTTTACCTACAAATAAATCAGAAAATATGTAGTTGAAAAATTTCCTCTGGACCAATTTTAAAAGTAATACATTGAGAAATGTTTATAAAATTCAAAAAAATTCGAATTTCAATTTTCAACTTTACCATTCTCTATCTTGGAAACTAAACATTTCCGGGTCCATTGTTCATAGGAGATGTTTTAACTATTTTTTGAAGTTCGATTTGTGTTTGAAATTTTGAGTAACAATTTAGTGACACTCTGCATATTTTTCACTCTTTAAGTACTTTGTTTTCTAGGCTGCCACAAGATGTGTACCAAACCGCAAAAATTTCCAAACTCCTAATGTTAATGGAAAAGGGCGTTGACAAGTATAAAGGAAAGTCGCTAAATGAAATTAATATTAATCCAATGAGTGAATTTGCTGAAGAAGAATCAGATAATGAAGATAACGATTTCCTAGATGCAAATGAATCTGACTGTACGGCATTTCAAGGTAATCAGTGAAAAGTCAAAAAGTGATCAGTAAATATGGCTGTTTCTGCAAAGCTTAAATGTATGCGGCAAAACGTATCAATTGATAAAAATAAAATTGCAGCTATTTTAGTAATTTAATTCTCTTTCCGCGTAGATCTTATAAAAATATTTATTATCGATAGTATGAAATTATTAATAAGTATTTCTATTAATAATAATAATAATAATAATAATAATAATAATAATAATAATAATAATAATAATAATAATAATAATAACAGGACTTTATTTGTAATTATATTACAAATCGGCGAAGTTTAGCCATATATTGCTATTCTACTTAACCTTAACAAAAATACTATATTCATGCCCCTTTTGGCCAAAGCAATTTCTGATCGTTCTACTGAAGAAAAGCAATGCAAGTTTATATACCCTTTGACTCATTTAGTCAGTGTATTTAAACGTCCTTGATGTAAATCGTACGTATAACTTTTAATAGTAATATTGAATATCAATTTATTAAACGCAGAGCCATTCTCAAGCTGTTGAAAACTTTCAGAATAAAAAAACATGTTTTTTTAATATCGCATATCAAGTACCAATTAGTACATGGATAGGAAAGAAAAAATGTTTCAAGAGTTTAGTACAACGAACATTCACTCTAGAAACGACACTAATTACCTCTTATTAGATTTTTTGCTTTTAAAATACAATTCGATTCAAACACTAAATGACCATCCCTCCCATCTATTAGAATAACAGAATGTTGATATTTATTAATAACTTACTTTAAGCAATCCCGGAAGAAGAAAGTCGACCAGTATCGAAGAAGAAAATATCAGGGAGGACATTCTGGACTTCTGAACAGGCTCTTCTAGTGAAAAAACATTTCAAGTCCCACATTAGCACAAAAAAGGCCCCCAAAAAGAATGAATGCATGCAGTTAATAGGAAAGTATCCCGAGATATTCCATGACAAAGACTGGGTTCGCGTGAAAACTTTTGTCTATAATATCTATAGAAATAAGTGAAGCTTTGTTCAGTCAGTAGTATATATTTTTTTGAGCTTTGGTGAAATTTGAAAAATTCACAAATGTGAAATAAATTTGGAATTTGTATTAGACAGTTGAAAATTCGGATGTAAATAAAGAATTGAAAGACAAACAACTTTTTCCTTTAGCATTTCCCGAAATTTTGAGAAGAGAGTTGGGTTTTTGAGATTTGAACAAAGAATCCTCAATTTTGACTATGAAGAATGGTCACGTAATTGCTCATATGCATGTTATTTGGCATCATTTAGCAAAAACTAACCGCGAAATCAAATTCTTTCTAAATAGTTTAAGAAAAAAAAATCCCATATGATTCTAACTTTATGTGTGACACTGTATCCGGCAATATAAAAATATTTGTTTTTCAAAGGTATCTTATACAGATCACTGGTTGCTCTGAGTTGTGTTTTAAGGATATGTAGAAAAATCTGTGAGCTGATATAAAAAAAGCTTCTATAAATGCAAGAGTACAAAGCGTCGAAGATTTTTATTATTATTTTGTCATTTTTTCACTGAATATACAGAAGCCATTCAATCTACTACAACAAATTCTGGTCCACTAAATTTTTCAAAATGTTGTCAAAGTTGTGTGTAAACTAGATAAATAGTTGAACTAAACAGTACATTTTTCTTGAAGACGTGCTTTTTCATCCACAGAGTTTGTGAATTTTAGAAGTAAATCTGACTACAAAAATTTAAGTTGTGTTGGAAATTTCTTTCAAACTACCAGTTCTTTGCGACGTCATTACATTTAAAAATAAAGAAATTCTTATTCAGAATTACATCATCTTGTATAATAAAGATTCGTTTTGAGATAATGTTCATTATGTCATCCAGTGTTTTATGTCACATTCTGACATCTATCTTATTTATAATTTTCAGACACTCGAAAAACTATTCTTTCCTTGCTAATTTTTTAGTTTGTGCAATTGTTTTTAAAACCTATAGGTTTTATGTTGTGAGGTACTGATCAAAAGATATTTGAGATATAAGCAATTGTATCGGTATTTATAAAATTCGGAACCAAAACCGTGAAGTTCTAGTTACCTGGATTTTGGAAAAAGCACAATTTCATTTCACCATTAAACAGAATAAATCAATTTATTTCAAAATGTTTCTTTAATAATGCAGAAACTTTGTTTAAAATATTAGGAAACTGTGCTTTCTCAAAATATTTTATTTTTGTTTATTTAAAAATAAATAAAATTTTTGTTTAGTTGTGCTTTTTTAATAATCCAAGTTAACAGAATTTCCACGATTCCGTTCTTATTTTCGTCTGATTATATTTGATAATATATGACAGTAAATGTTTCACATTCCCCTTGCTACTTTTTCTGCTGTACAAGCTGATGTTATTAGATTGTCAATCTGACGTTTCGTTTCACGGCAACCTTTTAATTCAAAATCCAACTACATATCGCTCTTTACATTTATTCGATATTTCGGATGAGAAAAACCATCATCAACGTCATTTGATTATAATTACGAATGAACGAATCGTCGGATCAAAAATCTAATTAAGTCATCATGTAGAGGGAAAAAGTCATGCGAATGTGAATTTTACTTTTATTTATCTTCTTTATTAGAATTTAAAAAAATCTATCACAAACTGCGAATTCTTGAACTGTCAAAACTAAATTTTCGCTTTCTTATACATATGAGACACCGAATATACATGAGTATATATAAACCGTCCAATTCAACTCCATGCCATTAGATCATCCAATTCGCCTCCATGTAATGTTGCCAAATTTCGGAGGCGCATTGACTGAAGAATGCATGGAGGTAAAGTGGTAAAGCCCACAATATGTCGTGTATAAGTGTATAAGACTTGAGTGCCATCTATTAAAAAATTCCTGAACTGAATTGTATAACTGTATATGTGCACATGACGAATTGGCCTCCACCGAAAAATTTGGGAAAATGTGTTTTGATACGTCACACGACGATTAAACATGTTATACACGTCGATACGTTTTGGCCTCCGAATTTTCCAATTCGCCTCCGATTTTGGAGGCGTATTCGTATAGAGCATAGTGCATTTCGGAGGTGTATAAGACAAAATGCATATATATATATATATATATATATATATATACAGGGTGTCCGCAACGTGTAGATCTTGAAAACATAAGCAATTTTTCTTAGTACTATATACACCAATGTCTTAAAGGAACCGAGATAAAGAGCTCTGCAACATCAAAAATATCTGAATACCGTCCTGTAGCCGCGACCCGAGACATCACCGATTGGTACAAGATCTCAACCCGACGGCAGAACTGGGTCGGGGTCAGTGTGTCAGGTCAGTATGCAACTTTCAACCGACGGTTACGGTCACGCGTGTAGAGGTAAACGAACCCATATAATCGATTGCGTTTCAAAAAACAACAAGCACTAGAGACGTGGCTAGAGAAGTGCAAGTATCAAAAACTAAAGTGTGGTAAACGCTGCGTGAAGAGGGGCTGTATCCGTTTCACGTCCAACGTGTACAAGCCCTTCAACCTGACGATTTTCCAGCAAGAGTGCGGTTTTGTGAGTGGTTGTTGCATCAACATGACAATAATCCGGACTTTTTGAAGTGCATATTGGTGACAGACGAATCTACGTTCACGCGTAATGGGGTGAATAACTTTCGCAACACTCATGTTTGGTCAGTAGAAAATCCGCACGCTGTCCGTCAGGCACATTTTCAACAAACATTTTCGGTGAATCTTTGGGCTGGCATGGTGAACGGTATGCTCATCAGCTGATTTCATTTTCTGTTGGAGCGGTATGATTTCGGGTAGAGACGTACTTAGCCCTTCTCGTCAACTGGACAGTGAGTACTTTTTCTTTTATTTTTTTTTACTTGGTCGCCCTCGTTTCACTTCACATCAACTTTGTTATTTTAAGGGTAGTTGTTTCTGAAAAGGAAAACCCCAACTCTGCGGACACCCTGTATATATATATATATATATATATATATACGAAAGCTTACTATATGTACATAAAGAAAGTAATGAAAAAAAAAATAAAATCAGAGTGCAACATTTTCCATCTATGGATTCAAGCAAATATGAGGTTTAACAGCTTTCGCGATCAATTCAATGGCATTATTTTAAATTTACGACTCAATGCGTTGTATAAAACTGCAGCACTGTACGTGAAAGAACGCTGAAATAAAGCTCTGGGGCGAATAGGTATATTTATCATAAGTATTTGGAAATCTGATATGTCTATCACGCATAAAAATCAGTTTTTCTTTTAAGTATATAGACTTAGTTTATGAATAAATACAAGGCAATGATATTTGATAATATACTAAGTGACATATAAATCCGAACACAAAGTTTAAATGGTTTTATTTTAATAAAAGTTGGTGAATGTATTTATCTTACTGTAAATAACAAGTGAAAAAATTTTCAGCCTTATCAGTTGGACATTCCGGTTTTTATACTGTTTTTTTTTAATTCACTAACGCTCCAAAAATGAATATTTCAGCCGCAGTAAAGAATCAACGTTGGCGGATTCTGGTTCTTGACATCCTTTACGATCGGTTACGATGCCTAGGGTACGGAGACCTGTACGATTTCGTCAACTTAGTGAGTTTGATAGGGGCCGTATAGTGGGACTTCGGGAAGCTGGACTTTCTTTTCGGGCAATTGCAGTTAGAGTGCAAACAAGTGTAGACACTGTGGTTAGGTGTTGTCAGGCATGGCTTCGAGAAGGCCGTACGCAAAGAGCAAGGGCACTGGACGCCGCCGTAGAACAACAGACCGTGAAGATCGCCGCCTAAGATTATTGGCCTTAAGGGACCGTTTCTCCACTACCAGGTCCATTGCAAATGAATGGTTTGCAGAACACGGAAGACCTATTGGCATGCGAAGTGTTTACCGACGAATGAGAAGTTTTGGCTCTTTTTCATACCGGCCACACTGGGTCCTCCCTTTAACTCGAGAACACCGACGTAATCGCCTTGAGTGGTGCAGACAACGGTCACTCTGGGATCAGGAATGGAACAGTATTGTCTTTAGTGACGAGTCTCGATTTTGTTTAGGCATGCACGATGGTCGTGCCAGGGTTAGAAGGCGACGTGGTGAAAGGAGGAATCCACAGTTTTTTGTTGAAAAACATGTTCATCACACTGTTGGAGTTATGGTTTGGGGTGCTATAGCTTATGGTTCCAGGTCACCTTTAATCTTCATCAGAGGTAACATGAACGCGCAGCGTTATATCCACAAAGTTCTAGAACCCCATCTTTTACCCTATCTTGACACCTTGGCAGATCCAACTTTCCAACAAGATATGCCCGACCACATGTTGCAAGAGTCACAATAGACTTCTTTCAACATAATGATGTCACATTGTTACCATGGCCACCAAGATCTCCCGACTTATCCCCAATTGAGCACGTGTGGGATATGATGGGTAGAAGATTGCTCAATTTGCAACGTCCTCCTCAGACTCTAGAAGCACTTCGAGAGGAGTTGGTGGTTGCCTGGAATGAGATACCACAGGAGGACATTGACCACCTGATCAGAAGCATGCCTAGGCGCGTTGGAGAATGCGTAGCACATCAGGGTGCATCCACACATTATTAAAGGTCAAAGGGCTTTAAAGCAGTGCAATCATTTTGAAATTTGTATCATTTACTTATTATGCTTCACTAAGTACTTATACAAAATTTTATTAAAATAAAACCATTTAAACTGGGTTTATATGTCACTTAGTATACATACATAGAGGATACTGAGTCGATCAACGATTTTTGTGAATAGGACAAGCAATCTTGGCAGACTGAACAAGATATCTTCAAACTAGCCTATATGGATCATCCGAACATTCTGCATTACATTGGCGTCGAGAAGAGAGGAGACAATCTCCAAGCTGAATTCTGGTTGATAACAGCATATCATGACAAAGGGTCGCTATGTGATTACTTGAAGGCGCACACTCTGACGTGGAACGAGCTATGTCGCGTGGCAGAAACTATGTCGAGAGGTAAGCTTTTTGAATCGAGAACTTGGCACTTGCTATGAAAGAAGTGAGAGGCTGTATTTTTACGAATTTCACCGTGGAATTTAATTTTATTTTCTAGGTTTGATGCATCTTCACGAAGCTATACCCGGAAGGCTGCCAGGAGAGCCATCGAAACCCTCAGTGGCCCACAGAGATTTTAAGAGCAAAAACGTGCTTTTGAAGAGTGACATGACAGCTTGTATTGCCGACTTTGGCCTGGCTATCATTTTCAAGCCTGGAGAGTCCTGTGGAGATACGCATGGTCAAGTAGGAACGAGACGGTGAGAATTGCATGAAAATTTAAAATTCCTGCAAATATTGAAGAATTGCTGTTTTTGGATATTTTTGAAAATTTCGTGCACTTGGAAAAAATTAGAAAATCTCCCTGGTTTTACTTCCGATGCGAAATTTTGAGTTAGAGATATGTTTTGTGGATGGTACGTGGCTCCTATAGTAAATAGCTGTGAGAAATTCTCATGGATGACGATACGGTACCTCATTTTATCTCGGATGATTTTTTGGACGCACGAATATGTCATTAGGTTGGCTATTTTCAACTAGACTACGTTAGTCAATGCTTGGTTACTCTAATGTTTGTAACTGTGACATTTTCTCTCAGATACATGGCTCCGGAAGTCCTAGAAGGCGCGATAAACTTCACCTCGGACGCATTCCTGCGCATCGACATGTACGCTTGCGGTCTCGTCCTGTGGGAGCTCGCGTCTCGGTACCCGGCGCAGGACGGACCTGTTCCATGATTATCTAAAAAATTTTGAGTTAGAGATACGTTTTTTTGGATGGTACGTGAGTCCTATAGTAAATAGCTGTGAGAAATTCTCATGGATGACGATACGGTACCTCATTTTATCTCGGATGATTTTTTGGACGCGCGAGTATGTCATTAGGTTGGCTATTTTCAACTAGACTACGTTAGTCAACGCTTGGTTACTCTAATGTTTGTAACTGTGACATTTTCTCTCAGATACATGGCCCCGGAAGTCCTAGAAGGCGCGATAAATTTCACCTCGGACGCATTCCTGCGCATCGACATGTACGCTTGCGGTCTCGTCCTGTGGGAGCTCGCGTCTCGGTGCACGGCGCAGGACGGACCTGTTCCAGAGTACAGGCTGCCTTTCGAAGAGGAGGTGGGGCAGCATCCCACCTTGGAGGACATGCAGGAGGCTGTGGTGCAGAGAAAAGTGCGGCCGCACATACAGAAGCATTGGAGGCACCACGCGGTAAGGATCTTGGCGCTAAGCCATATTTGGAGTAATAATAATAAAGCATTTGTTACATATACCATTTAGAGAGCAATACATGTACAATGATTTAATTTACGTAGTCTGTGTGCCATAACATTACTTATAATTTAAAATGATTCCATTTATTTACAGGGCTTAGCTTCAATGTGCGACACGATGGAAGAATGCTGGGACCACGACGCTGAAGCGAGACTTTCAGCGTCTTGCGTCATGGAAAGAGTCATGTTGCAGTCCAAGTACCAACAATCCGCTTTGGGCGGCTGGAGGATAGAAAACGAAACGCCTAACGCGCCCCCCAAAGACTTCAGTATCAGCATGTAGAATTAAGGTAATATATTTTTCACGATAATAAATTGTCTCGCATTTCTACTAATATGACTTCTTACCCTTTGCGTTTTGAGCCTACTAGTTGAACTTTTCAGGCTTATGCTCTCTATTCCAACTTAGTCTTGCACTATACTTTGAGTATTGTCCTTGATTATAATTATAGTTAAAGGTGTGTGTAAAATTTCCTTGTTTTTGGCCAAATGAAGCCACTTACAGGGTGAGTTTCTAGTGCGGGCTTGGACGATAATTTCATTATTTTGCGCGGTTACTAAAAAAGTTAAATGCGAAAAATGTAGTCAACAGTATGCTCCTTCCTTTGGAAATATTTTTATTTCTATGGGGTGAAAACATACATTTTTGAATAGAAATACTTTCTATATACTTTATATACTTATTTTATTTTATATACTTTATGACCTTAAAATCAAGGTGACACAACCTTGAACGTTATTTGAGGTCAAGTCAAAATTTCCCAAGGACACCTCTTATTTTTATACTGGAAATGGAAAATGCAGAAAATTTCACGTTTGAATGTGATCTTGACGTTAAAGTCAAGGTTGTGTCAAGCTTGAACGTTATTTGACGCTATTTTTCAAGTCAAAATTTCCCAAGGACACCTCTTATTTTTATACTGGAAATGGAAAATGCAGAAAATTTCACGTTTGAATGTGATCTTGACGTTAAAGTCAAGGTTGTGTCAAGCTTGAACGTTATTTGACGCTATTTGTCAAGTCAAAATTTCCCAAGAAAACCTCTTATTTTTATACTGGAAATGGAAAATGCAGAAAATTTCACGTTTGAATGTGATCTTGACGTTAAAGTCAAGGTTGTGTCAAGCTTGAACGTTATTTGACGCTATTTGTCAAGTCAAAATTTCCTAAGGAAACCTCTTATTTTTATACTGGAAATGGAAATTGCAGAAAATTTCACGTTTGAATGTGATCTTGACCTTAAAGTCAAGGTTGTGTCAAGCTTGAACGTTATTTGACGTTATTTGTCAAGTCAAAATTTCCTAAGGAAACCTCTTATTTTTATACTGGGAATGGAAAATGCAGAAAATTTTACGTCCGAATACGACCTTGACCTTAGAGTCAAGATTGTGTCAAGCTTGAACGTTATTTGAAGTCAAGTCAAAATTTCCCAAGAAAACCTCTTATTTTTATACTGGGAATGGAAAATGCAGAAAATTTCACGTCCGAATGCGACCTTGACCTTAAAGTCAAGATTGTGAAAAGCTTGAACGTTATTCGAGGTCAAGTCAAAATTTCCTAAGGAAACCTCTTATTTTTCTACTTGAAATGGAAATTGCAGCAAATTTCTCGTCCGAATGCAACCTTGACCTCAAAGTCAAGGTTGTGCCAAGCTTTAACGTTATTTGAGGTCAAGTCAAAATTTCCTAAGGAAACATCATATTTTTATAATGGAAGTAGAATATGCAGAAAATTTCACGTCCAAATGTGACCTTGTTGTGTCGATCTTGAACTTTATTTATATTCGTAGTCGCATTCATTCATAAATTTTCGTTTGCGGAATAGAGAGTTTTCTCTCGAGAATTTTGACTTAACCTTGAAGGTCAAGGTCATGCTCGATGACACATTTGGGTGACCTCACAGCTGTCCTGCCGAACATTTTTGCTGGAGAAAATTGTTTCTTATATCTTGATTTGACCTTGATGTGACCTTAAAGGCAATGGTCATTGTCATGTCGGGTGACGTTCTGACGTGAACTTTACTACTCGTTTCAATTCCGGTGTGAAAAGAGGGCGTTCCATTTGAAAATATTCACTTGACATTGAATGTCGTATTCAAGGTCATTGTCAAAGTCACTATCAATTTTCGCAGTATTTAGGTGGACAGATTCAATTGGGACACCGTGTATGCGTGGTTTCATTTAGTCAGAAAGACTGTTTTATCAACATGAAAACCACGGGATTTGTGTTTTTATTTTTCGTGTTTCTAGGCGGTCTAATATCTTTGTGATGTCATTTCGTTTTTTTTCAGCAGACAGAAGCTAGGAGGGTATTGTACCTGCAATTGCATAGAAAGGAGTACCTGTAAAACGAAGCAGCTCGTTGCCACACTAGATTTTCATGTTGAAAAATAGTTTTATATTCCAAATCATGTCAAACATTTGGTCAGCTGAAACGTGATTGATTCTAGAGCGTTTCACGTTATTTGATGGCAATGAACGAAAATGTATTTTATTTAGGCGACATAAATTTGGAATTAAAACTATATCAGATACACGTAAACATTTTTCATAAGTAATGCCAAAAAGGTTCGATTCGTGAACCTCACCATTCCATGTGCCAACAATAGTTAAATAGGGGGAATCTCTCTGTTTTTAACCAGACTGACCATAATCGTTTTTATGTGTGGTTACTAACCAATATAAGAAATAAACTACGAATGTGTATCTTTGCTTTCAGAAGAAAAACAACAGACAGGAGTGCGATCGTTAAAAGGCTGACACAGGTTGACTCTTGACTCAGCTCTTTGCTGATTCAGAACGCGAAAGCCCAAAAGAATTACAGTAGATAAATCTCGAATTCTTCCTGAATTCCTCCGGGCTTTGAGTATTAAAGGAGGGGGCACAGACCTCACGGTGAATCTAGCTCAAACTTCGGAATTTAGCTCTTCGGAGCATCCCGATCAAAAGTTTTCATGGGCTCTTAACAATCCTACGAAGCGTTTCCTTGATATACAGGGTGTGCCAAGAATGCGAGAATGGAGTAATGTTCAACTATTTATGGTATCCGAGGGCACATTTCTAAAATACTCACAATTATATAGGGTGTGCCAATTCCAACGTCAAAAACATTTCCTTTTAATGGAAGGCCGTGTCTTTTATTTCACATTCGGGTAGGCCTTTTTAAAAGAAGAAGATCGATATAACCTCGGTACTTGTCGGTTTTGATTGTTAGTTATTGACCTACAAAATACCTCATCAGTTGTCTTGACAATTTACATCAGTGGAGGCATTTAAGTTGATGAATGCTTCAATCTTTTCATTTCAGTATTAAAAAATCTAATCGAAAAGAAGTGACTTGTCCTTGACATGACCTTGAATGTTATGGTCCGTTTCATCAATACACTAATGCAAACTGTCAAATATGCAGGTTGTCAAACTGTGGTGTTTCTTAGATAAAAAACCCAACAGGCAATAACTAATAAACCATAAGTAAGTCATTTCAATCTTCCTCTTTTAAAAGGGCTTATCCGAATGTGTAATAAAACGTACAAACTTGCAATTAAAAAAAATTAAGGTCGAGCAAAATTGGAACACGCTGTATAATTGTGAGTATTTGAGAAATGTGTCCTTGGGTATTATTATGTATAATAACCATCTTGGTCTTTGACGAGTTTTTGTTTAGGAGAAATACTCCGTTCTCGCATGCTTGAGACCCTGTATATCATGGAAACGCTTTAAGAGCCCATGAGAACTTTAGATCAAAGGTGTTCTGGAGAGGTTTTCCCCAAAGTTTGAGCAAGATTTACCGTAAGGAGGACGCTGGAATTGCCTGGCACGACGTGTTTGGTATTTTTTTCTGAGGGCATAGACGCGTGCTATTAAACAAATTTTCTGTGACGCGACGGACGTTTTTACCGTATTTCGCGTCGCGTCTAACATTTTGAGTATTTCTTTTTGTACGGTGTTGTAGAAAAATATACAGATGTCTTAGGGTTAGTACAATGATACGGATGAAAGTATGATATGCCTGGGAAACGGTTCACATTTTTTCGGAATATTTAAAATTTCAGATGAACGCTCTTGATTGACAAAATTCGTGTACGCGTGCATTTTTTTAGAAGTTACATATCAATTCTACATGAATTCGTGAAATTTGAATTGTATATATTTTTTATATTAACGATAAACGTCTCTTTAATATAATATTTGTTGTACGGGAACATTGTGCTAAAAAGTTTAGGAAAATAAATCGACTACTGGTATATTTAGCATTTGTTGTTTATACAGGGTGATTCAGAAAACGGTGGCGCAAAAAATGAGGTCTTTTACATGAACAAAAAAATCCGGACTCGTTGGGAGAGTTGTGAAAAAAATTTGCTGCAATTTATGTAGGGGTGGGGGTTCTTCTAGAAACCTTTTGATTTTTTTTTTGTGGAAGTCAAATATTAATACGTTTAGCAAAACGGTATTGACTTGACGTAGAAACAGTATGACCAAAAATTTTCGTGGCCGAAGTTGTGGCAGTAGCGTGGAAATTGGAAAATTCAATGCCCCACAGGATTATTCGTTTCGGAGAAAAATTGGTTTGAATATTTTGAGGTGACAACCGTAAAGAGCACTTCAGTCTTTTCCACTTTGAAAATATGCCGAGGTTCGTAATTTATTCGTCTTGTCCGTCTTTTCTTGTTATAATAATAGTAATAATAGACGTCTTCATTTTACATACAATAACATAGTAATGCAGCTGAATCACCCTGTATATTAGATGTGATATTAAAAGATTATACTTCTGTGCACACACAACACGACGTCTCGAAAAACCTGTTTTTGTGTACGGCCACTTTTTTTTAAGAAATTCAGATGAACGCTACAACCCACAAAAAATAATAAACATTCCTACAAGTCGGATTGTTTTCCTTCATAAAATTAGTTGTATTAACTGTTACATGTAGATCAGAGGAGAAGAATATTATGTTTTGTAGGGAAAATCAGGATGGTATATTTTTAATGAATACGATATTTTGCAGAAAATATTGAAAGAGACGTAACGTAATGTTGAAAGGAAATATGAGAATATTTTTTTAATTGTTGAGACAGAACCTACGATACCTGAACTTGGATTTTTTCAGTTTTTAAAGTTATAGGATTGGTCGAAATTATATAGAAAAGAAATATTCAAAGCATGAATATTTTCTATGAAAAAAAATATCTTATTATGGTACTGTATTTACTTTGTTTGGTGTCTACATACGTTTTGGAGAATATAATATGTACACATTTGAGTAGCTGAACAGTTCCATTGTATCAAAGTTTCAATGACGAAAGTCTGACCTGCAGAATTCGTAGGCTAGGATTGAAAGTTCGAAAATGTAAATTACACAAAGTTTTTACCCAGAAACTAGAGTATACTTTCCAAAAAAATCTTCGGAAAAGTATACTGTGGTTTTTGGATAAAAGGGTGGGTTCAATTTTGGACTTGGACTATGATTTTTCCAGAATTACTTGGTGGACGCGACAAGAATTATCTGATGTTCGATCCAAAACTAGACCGTTGTTTTTTGTTTAGTTTCAACATCACTGTCGTCTGTTCCTTTATCCAATTGGACTTCAGAGAATTTTCAATACTTTCAGGTTAAAAACAAGTCTGGTGATTATAAAAATCCCGAAGTGCAATGACCGAAATCCCTTACTTCTAAATAGTGGTAACCGACTTTGACGCATTGAAGCTGTTCAGCGATCTTTTTAGGAATTTGTGAGACTGAAATTGGACATATTAACAGAAATAATCGTATTATTCATTCGAAAAAAAAAAAGGAATAACCTAACCTGCTTTAAGATTTAACTTTTTAGCATCTAGTTATTTTAGTTCTTCCATTTATAAGTGTAAACAAACGGTTTAGGAATCTATAGTACAGAGTATTTTATAAGAGAATTTTTACGTAAACACTATCCATTTAAACTTGATCTAAAGTTCCGCGACATCGAGAAGATTTTTCAGTTTGTTGACTTTCTACGCTTTCTTTTTATCGTCATGTAACCACAGCAACGATTTAGGGTTATTGTCATTCAAACGGACTTTAGTTTCATTACAGTAATTTGCAGTCTCATCTATGTTGCTTCATTTTCCAATAACAGCAGGTTGCAATTTTAAGTCTAAACGGATAGTTTTTCATGTTATTTCTATGAAGGCAGCTGATTTTTTCGTAGTTCTACACACACTGATTTTTGGGTTGCTCACATACGTATACGGGGTGATAAAATGTAAACATAGTGAAAATATAAATGTTACACTAAGAAAAATGTTATTGAATATAGGGTGTAAAATTCATCCTCTTTATAGTGAGTGCGGTATACCTGGACCACTGAATAAAAGAAAATGTCTATAAACAAATAATTATGAATTTATCTTAAATACGTCTAACAGCTGAGCTATATTCAATTTTTTGGAGTTGGAGTTTCTAAATGGCCGCGAGAAACTTACAGGTAGTTTTAGTTTGTCCTAGGGCATATTCCGTAAAAAAAATCATTTTTTGTTGTACACACGCTGCACAAGAAATACTATTTAGTGACTCTCAAGGTCAACTTAAACTTTTACGCTAAGAAACGACCTTGATCCTTTCCACCTGTGGTTCCATTTGGAGTTCCAAAGCGACTGAAGGTCGTTTTCAAGGTCATTGTCAAGGTCACCCCCAAACGTAAGATTTTCTGATCTTTCACTCTGCGATCTCATGTTATACGATTTTCAAGTTAACCTATGAGTGACCTTGAAGGACATTTTTAAGGTCACTGTTCAGGTCATCTCCAAACGTAATATTTTCTAATCTTTCAGTCTGCGAGATCAAAAACATGAGTTCATGTTATACGATTTTCAAGTTAGTCTATTAATGAACTTGAAGGGCATTTTCAAGGTCATTACTAAACGTAAGGTTTTCTGCTCCTCTTTCCGTTTGCGGGATGATCAACATACGATTCCTTGTTATAAAAGTTTTACGGTAACGTCTCAATGACCTTGATGTCGTGTTCAAGGGCACGGTCAAGGTTATTTCCAAAATTAAGGTTATCTTTTCTTTCCTTTTACAGGTTCAAAAACGTACGATCCTTTGTTATACATTTTTTTAGTCAACCTCTCGAGGTCATGTCATTTTGAAAATCTTGTACATTGAGATGAGACTTCATATTTTTGATTCTTTAATTTCCCATAAGCGAACTTCCGCTTCAAAAAATTGAAGGTAGGATTCCATGGATTGCTACACGAGTCATTTCAATATTTGTCACTCGGCTGTGGTGATCCCTAGATGAAATTTTTGGGTGCAAAATACAAGTTCTTAGGTTATATAGTTAAATAATTGAAATATAATATTTATATATAATAGCGTTTTTTTTGTAAATACACATGTTTGTACAATAGAATGGTGTTGTGAACAATAGGTTAATTTTCATACAGTACAGGGTAGATATAAGCTCAAATCGTAATTTCTTCTGTATTATCACCTTGTATACATTTTTTTATTTGAGAAATGGACTCCCCTCAGGTTCAGATACAATATACTATCCACTAATTCTCTACGGGGTGAGTTAGATGTACGAAGACATGGAGGAAATGTTTGTAGTGATTTTTGACTTGAAAATAAAATCCTTGAACTTTTCAAGATCAGGCGGATTCTCCAAGATCAGGTCGATCTTTAATTTTCGCACAACAAAAGGCAAATAACCCGAGTCTCTTAAAACCGTTTTACAGTCTGCAAGATCATTGCATGCAATCTCAAGGTATCTGTAAACATTTAAATATAGTCACATACCCACAGGACCTTTCTAGGGGTATTTGAATGAATTTGTAAGTTGCAAACTATTGCATCAGAATTGCAGAGAAAGTTACATGAAAAATCGAACTGATTGATTTTAATACAAGACCTCGGCAGTTTTGCTAGTGCGCATGCATCTGATCAACATTTCTCTTACTATTGCTGACTCCAAAACGGTTATTAGAAATTTTGATCAATTAAAAATTGCGCAACTTTTGTGTTATGGCACATCTTTATTGCCCTCGTTGAGATACATCTTGCCATTTTATTTAGTTGATGGATGTATGTATTTTCGTTTTATCATGTTTATTATAATTCTACCATTTTCTACCTCTGAATGTTCAAAAATACTTCTTAGTATTCTTTTAATTCGGTGCTTTCCACATTTAATCTTATTGCAATCTAGCGACTTTAGTTAATATGACTTATAGGAGCGCTGCTATGTACAAGGTGTACAAAAAATATTCTGATTTATTTTTTTGCATAACTATCCGGAATGGAAGCATTTTCCAAAAGATGCATGGAAATTATCAACAGGGTGTCCACTCATTTTTACTCATTATTTTGTTGGCTGCCAATTTTTGCTCCCGTTTTTTTGCTCATTTTTATCATCATTTTTTGATGTTTTTCAATTCAATGAGCGTCCTGTAGGCGCTCACGTCTATAAAGTGTATCAGTGAGTCGAAAAGTCGTTATTTGGTCTATCATAGGAGCTAGAAGCCCTTCTAGGTTAAGCATGAAGCATTTTTATTCATATCAATGGCTTGACTAGAGAAAAGCTTCCAAACCGCTCATTTTTTACTCATTTTCCGTTCCAAATCACTCATTTTTCTCCTTTTTTTTTCGGGGGGTCCGCCTTTTTTCTTTCTAATACTTTTCAAAGTTAGAGCGCCTTTTTGAAGGACAGGAAACACCAGGAAAATCAAGGAGGCCATAAAGGCGTCCTACAATCTTAGGAACGACTGGCGATTCGGCCCTTATAGCGAATATAGCAATATTTACAGTCATATTTTTTGCATCTTGTGTATAGTCTGAGCTCCTTGAGGTTTAGATATGTGTTTGAAACAGATTGCTTATTTCATGTCTGTTTTGAAAACGTATCTGCCGTCCACTTTTCAGTATGCATAGATTTTTAGATGCTGTTTCGTCCTTGTTAGGGCTAGTCAG